GCGGCAGGGGTGCCCAAAATCACACATATATATATATATATATATATATATATATATATATATATATAAATATCTGATTCTGCACTTCCTGGTAGTGGGCATGCGCCCTACCCATGCCACCACTCGCGGCTGTCAATCACCTTTTCCCAGACGGTGATTACCCACTGGCACCTGGTGATTCCCGGGGATCTCTGACAGGGAGGAGATCTGCTTTGTTTGTTAACAGTCCTCCTCACTGTCAGCTCAGGCACACTGCTCTGGATGGCTGTGCACAGCACAGCCATTCAGAGCAGTGTGCTTACAGTGAAGCACCAACACACAGTCCCCCAGTAAAACACTCCCAGTACACAGTTAACCCTTTGATCACCGCTCATGTTAGCCCCTTCCTGCCCAGTGCCCTTAGTACAGTGTTAGAGCTTATTTTTTGTACTGATCACTGCATTGTGTTACTGGGGATGTCATAGACACCAAGTCAGTTCCCTGCCACAGTCATTACTAGTAAAAAAAAAAAAAAATCCAGTATCCATACCGCCATTTATAAACGCTATAACTTTCACGTAAACCAATTAATTTACACGTATTGGGATTCTTTTTAGCAAAGACATGTAGCAGAATACATTTTGGCCTAAATTTATAACAAAATTAGATTTAAAAAAAAAAATTTTTTACTGGACATGCTTAATAGCAAAAAGTCAAAAATATTGTTTTATTCTCACAATTGTCAGCCTTTTTTTTTATAGCTCAAAAAATATAAAATCGCACAGGCGATCAAATACCACTGAAAGAAAGCTCAATTCGTGGGAAAGAAAGGATATAAATTTAATTTGGGTGCAGCGTTGCATTACTGCGCAATTGTCTGTTAAAATAACGCAGCACCATAACACAAATGATGGCCTGGTCAGGAAGGGGGGTAAATCCTCAGGAGGGCAAGTGGTTAAATCCGTTCCAGACCTCAAGGGTAAAATTGAAATTTGCGGAGGACCACCTGCTGTTTTTCTCTTTTTTTTTTTTTTGGCTTAGGGTCCCTTTTAAAATTAATTGGTCACGTTCATATATATATGGTCAAAGAAACCACTCAGAGCTGCTTATGAAGATGTCAATGTGACGGAATGCGGTGCCTGACCCCTGCCCTTCACACCAACTCATGACAAAGGACCAGCCAATCTGGCACCGCGCTGTCACTTGCGTAACAATGCCACTCAAAGCTGCACCCTGCACAAAGACTTTCCAGCCTGCGGGACCGCAATCTATGTGCCAGCAGCCTGAGAGCGATTGTTACTGGGTTAGGTTAATTACGCAATTAACCCTTCACACTGTCACCACCGCCTTTTTACAGAGAAGGAGGAAACTCACAAATCCTAGCAATAACACTATGATATTACCTAAAGCGTCTGTAACATACACTGTCACCACAGACAGGTATATTTGGAGGATTATTACATGCAGTGGCACTCTGCAAGAGGCAGGGATTATTTAGTTTGCATTAAAAGCTTTAGACACAGTTTCAACACTTCAAAATAGGGTTTATTACTAAAAAGGTTAAAATGGCGCAATTAAAATATTTACAGAAGAAGATGTTACAAAGACATAAAGAGAACAATAAAACAACAGAGAAATAATAAAAGAAGGGAGTTAAGAAGGCAGAATACTTATAAAGTCCTGGTTTAGCAGAGTCCAATTGTCCGAGCAAACGTTGCCTTGGCTCTCAAGACCGTTAAGATGTTTCTTGATTGATATTAAATGAGATCTCCCCTTCTCCAGGCCTGTCAGGCATTTTCTATGATATTAAAGGGGTGTCGCCTGAGAACAACTGACCAATCACTTGGTTTAGGGGATGGGTTCTAGGAGGTCACCATGTTTATGACCAAGTCCCAACTACAATTTCATACTAATATTAATAACTTCCAGTATGTAGGTGGTACTATAGCAACTGGCAGATTAATATTCAGAAGTATATTTCAAACCCAAGGATACCAAACACAGCTTACCTTTGTCACCCAGGAGGGAAGAGACTGCTTTCTTCCCTTTCCTATATGCTAACATAGTCATAGAGGACCTTGTTTGGCTCGACATGAAATGATCTATCCAAATATATACCTAATATTAATGTGTCCAGTTTCTGTTGGATGCTATGAACTGTATGTGAAATGGTTACATGTGGAATAATTTTATGGCTTGCTCTGCATTGCTAAGCTCTAATGGCCTAACAGGTCATGTGTGACGGCTGACTGAGTTATTGTTTTATGATAGGGCACAGGAAAGTGTCTTTGCAAAATAGACACCCTGCCAAGACTAATTAGCAGTTTACAGCTCTGGAGCTGGCCTCTACTTGTGTTTTGTTTAAAATAAGAAGCTCTTTTGAAGTCTGTTACAACTTATAGCTGCAAATTCCATTTCAAGAGCAGGGGAGAAAGATGATTGTTCAGGAAAAACAAAATGGCTTAGACCTCAACAAGATGGCTGTCGAGTACAGCTTCCATGTCGTATTGTGCATAAGTCACATATTGATGGTGAAAAGCAGAACTTCCAATGTCTCACTTCCGATCTCAGGTGGAATTTCCCTGCATGTTAGCCTATGTGTCCATGCACACATAGGCTTTTAGCAGTGTTTAGTGGCAGAAGCTTTTAAGGGCAGTAAAAAAGCTCACTGCCTGTGTGTCCAGGAGCAGCAAAGATTTGGCAGAAAAAAACCTTGATGCTGCTAAACGTGCCTAGATGCTAGGCACGTTTAGCACTTGAGGGTTTATTAATTTATTTATTCTGGCAGATGAAATGAATTAACATCCAAGCTCTTGATGCCTGTGAACACGCCTAAAAGCTTGTAAAAGCGTCAGGTTTTTTTCTGCCAAAATGCTTCTGCCAAGAGGAAAGATGTTTAGGAAAGTTTGCAAATTGTCATGTGTGCATGAGGCATTAGGTTCAATATATGGGCTGTCCCTTTAAAAAAAAGAGCACTGCTAAGGACTAATGATCTTGTGCAATTGATTATAAGAGCTGGAAGAAAATCATTAAAAAAAATCTATATTTTACACTCTCAGGTTGTAGATGCTGCTGATTTCAGCTGCAATGGAGGAAAGAGTAGCAAAAGGAGCTGGAACCAGACAAAATTTGTTCAGTGTATGGCCAGCTTAAAATTTATCTATGGTCAATGTTTAAAATCTTTATATTTATTTCCACATTGAATTTCAACTACTATACTAGCCTACTAGTTAGGTAGCAAGTAAGCACACAATTATTTCAAGCAGCTAGCATCAAAGGATGAAGCCCCATATCCTCAAATGTGACTAAAATAAATAAATAATGCAGCGCTTAATTCATGAAAGTGACAATATGTAAAAGTGAAGTGCAACATGATTGAGTGCTGGAGTGACCACAGAACATAAAGTGTTTCGTCAGATATTGACAAAATAATTAGTGACTGGAGTTTCCAATGGTGACAATAGTGAATAGTCCCAAACAAATTATTATGGTGATACACTTGTAAATATTGATGAATAAATAAAAGTCCGAAGTATTCTGTAAAATCTCCATGCACGTGACTCCGTGATGAGGCTTTGCTGTATGATTGCACTCACCAGAAGCGCAAGGGTTTTATGCATAGAATCATATCCAATTACTCCCCGGTGGACATCTGGGCTCAGTAAAGGAACTCTGCTGGTTTACTGACAGCACACAGGGAAAAGCTCCAGGCATCAATCACTTGACCCTCACAGCATACAGGAACAGCTTCACTAGTACCTCTCCACCAAGGATAAATGCTGCCAAAAGGGATATGTTCTACCTTAAATGAAATGGCTCGCAAATACAAGACAACTTACTTTGTAAAGAGTCCAACAAATTTAGATTCCTAAATTCCATGATACATTCACTATACCCTGTGAGTAGGCATTGCTGTGTCACGGAATTCACAAGTCCTGCCTTCTGAATGACAGAGGTGCTAAGAGGAGGTGTTTTATGAAGTCAGTACAGAAATGAGTGCTTGCAGGCAGCAGGGTACCATATGATATGCAGTCCTTAGAAATCTGAAATAAACAACAGAGGAGAAGGTTCAAAGCATGCGAAGAATGCAGGAAGTTGTGAAAAGAGATGGCCAGCATATAGACAGCACTTTACAGCATGAAAGGAGATTTTTCAGGTAAGCTTTTTATTGGATTTGCAATAATACTTATTGTTTGTATTTCTATTACTACGGTGATGCTATAAAATGAAAGTGTATGCTATGATCATTGAATTGCTTTAGCACTATTCTCAAAATTTAGAAAAAGGTTTAGAGTGGACATTTACCTAAACTTCTACAGATGTATGAATGTCCTAAACAGGTGACAGGTGTTGAGAAAGAAGGAACCAAAGGAATCAAGTTAAAAACCCTGGACGGTTTTCTCCAGAAAAGTACCTGTTGAAAGCAATGATCTTATAATAATAATTGTTGGAGTGGGAAGAAAATAATTGAGAAATTCATATTCTTCACTCATGAAATATGGGTAGACTGGATCACGGACACTACTAATTTAATTGATGGCTGTGATGGAGGAAGGAACAGTGAAGGATCACAGGTAAAGTAAGTAGAAGTGGATCAGAAGGGCCCTTTGCATAGACGCTGTCTAGATCTGGAATAAGTATGCAGGTCAGGAGTCCTGATTTCACCTTGGCAGTATTGCACAGCTTTGGGTCAGAGGTCCAAAGTATTAAATGGTTCTATGCTAAGTTACATTTAGCAATTTGTTACTAAAACACAGTAAAATGAGCAACTCCAACTCTGCACTGTGTAAAGTTTTAATACTCCAATACCACTGTTGAATACAGTGTCACACCCTCAAAGTAATGAAAGTGTTACTAAACTCAGGACCCTGAATTCAGTATATCTGGTCTCTTATGGTACACAGAACATAGAAATGCAATTATTTTAGTAAATATAAACTGCTAAATACCTTTTCTCATCAGCAGTTAGAGCAGTCTTGTGACTTCTATCAGTGTTCAGTCAAGCACTAGCTAAAGTCTGTAAGAGCAGCTTTCTACCTGCTCTAGGAGGATGCAAAAGCATGACCTCTGTCGGGACAGTGCTGATTGACCCTGTGCTGATTACATGCACTCTCTCAAGGAAAAAAAAAAGACCTCTCTAGCAATACACACCAAACTGAGCATGTTCAAAATGCATACAGTTCAGTCTGTCTTATCAGGAGATAAGAGGTAGTCACTTAAACAAGGGGAGGCACATAGCAATCTGAAACAAACTGCATTTTTTTACACAATGCAGAGGATTACCCCTTAGGTTCCACAGTGATTATAACAAGCATGCTTTACTGCAAATACAGACTGATTTTTACTGTTGTGGGTTTAGTAACACTCTAAAGCAAGATACACAGTGACACTTGCTTTCATAATATCAGCAATGGAAGCCTCCTCATTACTCACAGCACTGGTTTCCCTTAATTATTGTGATAGACGCTATAAGCAGCAGCAGGGAAAGGCCGCTTCCACAATATTTATTAAATGGGACTAAATTCAGCATGGATTAAACAAAAAAGCAATTAAAGATATGAAAATAAACCAGTAAATTAAAGAGGACCATTACAAACAGCTTACATGACCTCTGAATCATTCGTGTCAAAGGGGGGGTGAAGAGCATTGGATGTCATTGTTTGTCATTATATTCATGTAGCTTGTTTTGTGTTGCAGATCCTTTCCATCAAAGAACACAATTACTTAAGGTCCTGGCAGCATTTATAACTCCAGTCTCCAGAAAGATTTAAGTTTAGTCGTGCCAAAATAGCAGCAATCATATGTTTATGAAATCACTTTATGTGAATCATCAGTTTTTTTATAGTTTTTGTAGAGCCATTAAAGCCCAGCTTCAGCCTTATCTTTAGTGTAACACGGTTGTAGAGGTTCCTCTTCTGTACTGAATCTGCTTGGTTTGAGTTCACTGCATACTGTAAGCTTCTCACAGTGTCTATTAAAAACTCAAGCAAGTCAGATATAAGGTGGGAATACACAATTAGAAAATCGACCGATCGGTCATCTGACGACCGAGAGGTGTTCGTTCGGTGGTCGAAATTGTGGCCCACATTAACCAATCTAAAAAAATAGTTTGTCGGGTAATACGTAGTGTTGATGTCTTCCGTACAAGTGGAAGTGATGCAGTGTGCTTGTGACCTTGTAGCCACACCCTTCCGGCCAGAATGAGCGATATACACAACAATTAACAGCAATGAGTATAATATAGTTTATTGCATTAACTATATACATAAATATTGGTACATAAAATATAATATGCAGAATTCTGGTTTCATTATCTCATTAGGCCAATCTAGTTTTCACATTTGGATTTTTCGTTTGTGTTTACGAAGATTCCTTGGACATAAACATCCGGGTCATCTGTTTCCACTCATGCGTGATAGCGCTTGATAGATTTTTTTCGTACGACTGTCATACCACCGCATAGAAAATCAGTTGTTCGTATGCGAAACGACAACATTTTTCACTGTTGTTCAACCGGATTCTTTTGTTCCCAATATCATTATCAGTTTAAAACATCCTGCTCATCAACAAAGAGAAAATCGTTCGATCAGTGGTTCCGCAAAATGTTTCGTACGATTTTCTTATCATGTGTACAGTGAATTACTCTCCCTATGTGCCCCTTTCATTGAGTGGATTTCAGCTATTTCAATCATGGAGACTCAGCATCACATGTGGACACCTAAGGAAGTTTGCATAGTAAAGCCCACACCTCTTAACACTTTTAACTTTTAGTCCTCATCAGGGGCGGACTGACAATTCATGGGGCCCCCGGGCAATAGGGGATCATGGGGCCCCTGTGTCCTTGCCCACACTCAAAATACACCCAAAAAAGCCTATAAAAAGGTACCAGGGGCATTTCATGGGGCCCCCCACTGACCCCAGGCCCTCGGGCAGTGCCCGAGTTCTCAAATGGTCAGCCAGCCCCTAGTCCTCATGCACACAGGACGTTTTGATAACGCTGGTAACGTTAGCTGTGTAAAGTCACGTTAAAAACGTGAGTTTTCCAGCTTTTTTTAGCGTGTTTGCATTAGCGTTTAGCGGAGTTTTGCTGCATTTAGCTGATTTTTCCTGTGATTTCTGCGTTTGTGTCTGTTAGCATTTTTCAGCATTTTTTTTTTACCAAAAAGAAATTTGGTCAAATAAAGTCCAAAGATGCCGGTTTGTGCCATTTTACTGTGTTTTCCAGTGTTAGAGCTTTTTTACAGCTAAAAAACTCCTCTAGAAACAAAACTAGTCCTGGGTTTTTTTTCCAGACAAAAAATGTCCCAGTTAAAAAATGTTGATTACAGTCTATGTTACATGTTAGCTGTGTAAAGTCATGTTAAAAATGTGAGTTTTTCAGGTTTTTTTTAGCGCTTTTGCATTAGCATTTAGCGGCGTAAAGTCAAGTTAAAAACATGAGTTTTTAAGCTTTTTTTTAGCGTTTTCGCATTAGCGTTTAGTGGTGTTTTTGCTGCATTTAGTGGCATTTTCCTGCGTTTTTTCATGTTTGGGTCTTTTAGTGTTTTCAGTGTTTTTTTGACCGATAAAAACGTGGTCAAAAAAGTCCAAAAATGCCGGTTTGCAGCGTTTTACTGTGTTTTTCAGTGTTAGAGCGTTTTTACAGCTAAAAAAAACTCCTCTAGAAACCCACTAGTCCTGGGGTTTTGTAACACTTTAATACTTTGAGTGTGTGACACAATACAGCAACAGTGGTATTGGAGTATTAAAACTTTACACATAGTGTGGAGTTTGGAGTTGCTAGTTTTGCTGTGTTTAGTAACAAATTGCTAAACGTAACTTAGCATAGTACCGAGTAACTGTTCCGTAAATCTGGTTTCCCACTAACACAGTGTGGGACACCACATGTAATCTGCACAGGAATTGCACTGTATTTCTGTGCGAATTACGTGCAATGTCTGTGCAGTGCGATTTGAGCCATACATTTTGTATGGGTCAAATCGCCTCACATTCGCACCGAAAAGGCGCAGGAACTTTTTTTTTTTTTACCCGCACCTGAATCACATCTCATGGGTGTTCTCACCCATGCAATGCAATTTCTGGTAATTGTGTTTTGCAATCTGTTTTGGGGTGTCCTTAAATTAACATTGACACCCACACCAAACCGCTGGAATGCCATGAGAATGCAATGCAGTGCATGCACTGCATTAGCGTGAACCCAGTCTAACTGAAGGTAAAAGCAATAGAACATCCCACCATGGTGTGTTGGATATGACTCACTGATACCAATAATGGGATGTGCCTGTACATTATATTATCTACAGTTGTGTCCAAAATTATTCAACCCCCACTGAAATTGAGTGTTTTGGCCAGTTTGACATTGCTTTTGATCATTCAGTCATCTTGCTTACATTTACATTAAAGAGGCACTTGTAGGTCGACAAATATAACAAAACAGTTATAATGAAATAACCACAAATGTCTTTTCTGTGCTCACAGCTTATCAGTTTTATTCAAAAGTGACATTCAATCTTAGTACTTAGTACAGCATCCTTTTACAGTTATAACAGCTTTTAAACGTGAAGCATAGCTTGACACAAGTGTCTTGCAGCGATCTACATCTTCGCCCATTCTTCATGGGCAAAGGCCTCCAGTTCAGTCACATTCTTAGGCTTGCGCACTGCAACGCTTTCTTTAAGTCCCACCAGAGGTTCTCAATCGGATTTAAGTCTGGTGACTGCGATGGTGTTCCAGCCTTTCCTCTGCAACCATGCTCTAGTGGACTTGGAGGTATGCTTGGGATCATTGTCCTGTTGAAAGGTCCAACGTCTCCCAAGCCTCAGGTGTGTGACGGACTGCATTCACGTTTCCATCCAATATCTCCTGGTACTGAAGAGGCTGGTACCTTGCACACGCTGAAGCTTCCCTGTACCTTGCAGAAGCAAAACAGCCCCAAAGCATGATTGACCCTCCACCATGCTTCACAGTAGGCAAGGTGTTCTTTTCATCATAGGCCTTGTTCTTCCTCCTCCAAACATAGCGTTGATCCATGGGCCCAAACAGTTCTAATTTTGTTTCATCAGTCCACAGAACACTATCCCACAACTTTTGTGGTTTGTCCACATGGCTTTTGGCATACTGCAGTCGACTCTTCTTAAACAGCAAGGGGGTACGCCTGGGGAGTTCTGGCACGGAGGCCTTCATTAACGCAGTGTGCGTCTTATTGTCTGGGCTGAAACTTCTGTACCCACACTGACAAATCTTTTCTCAGTTCCTCAGCAGTCACACGGGGACTTCTCTCCACTCTACGCTTCAGGTAGCGCACAGCAGTCGAAGTCAGCATCTTCTTTCTGGCCACGACCAGGTAGCGTTTCAACAGTGCCCTTTGCCTTGAATTTGCGAATGATGCTTCCTAAGGTGTCTCTTGGTATGTTTAACATCTTTGCAATCTTCTTATAGCCATTGCCCTTCCTGTGAAGAGAAATCACCTCTTCTCTTGTCTTCCTGGACCATTCTCTTGCCTTCACCATGTTTGTAACCACACCAGTAAATGTCTAGAAGGAGCTGAGTATCACAGTCATTTTAAAGCTGCCTAATTGGTGCTTATTATGCTTGATTGCTGCTCGGTGACATCCACAGGTGTTTTCAATACCTGATGGAAAGCACCTGTATGAACCTCTGTTCTTCAGAGTGGTAGTCTTTAAGGGGTTGAATAATTGTGGCAATGAAGAAACCACATAAGAACCATTTACTACTGTATTACATAAACAATTGATGTCATTTTAGTTGCATTTGGGTAGTTACAACGTCCTTGTAGGATGATTCTGAATACAATTCCAAATGTACACTATAGTCCCTAAACCCCTTTACAGCATTGGGGGTTGAATAATTTTGGACACAACTGTATGCATGGTGGCAATGACCACTTCAAAACTGTTGTCGTATGAATCATAAATCAGTCTTTTGGTGGAATGAATCATTCTCTTGACCCTCTACTCTCTGGTTTCAGATGCAACTTACATAAACAATTCCCTTTGGGGGTTAAAAGGGTGATGGGGAGGGAACTGCAGTTATTCCATCTCTATGACCTGTGGCACAAACTCTGGTGTCTCAGGCATGAGGGTTTCTGAATAGTTCCCTGTGGTGCATATGAATGAATCCATAGACTCAATCATCCAGCACCAAAGGCTTCCTCCTAATCACCTGCTACTTCCTTCCAAGGAGGTAATGCTGCACCTGGGTCATTTATAGGACAAGTTCACCTTTGGGAACATGTTACATGTTCCACGCGTTTTCATAGCGGATATCAGCTTGTAGTTTTCCATTAACTACCATGGCGCTGTGGAGCTTATCCTTTAAGCTTGCCACGTTGGGTGTGAAATAGTCAAA